ATACGTAATCGCGCGAACGAGCTTGCTCTTTAACATCGACGTCGGTCTTTGACGATGTTCTTCGATTTTCGCTATCGATGCTTCAATAATATTAGTAATGTTGGCAATAATTAATAATATTAGTAATATTAGTAACATTGCCGATTATTTTCTACAAGATGGCTCGGTAGCTTTCCTTTAATCACGAATGCCCCGTTTCTTTTCAATCATCGTCCCTCCTCGATTGTTTAATCTCCATGTTCTCCGTCATAATCGTTCACGTTTCTTCAATTTTCGACTCGCTATCGATCCATCGCTAACATTTCGACAACACGGACTTTCTTTCCTGTAGGCAATTACATTGCCCTGCTTTCTGTCTTATTGTACCATTATTGCGCAAAAGACCGATCACACGACGACAAGTTTTTGTCGGTCGAGACATGGCTTTATACGTCCGCCCTCCTTGAGTCTCAAAGTCTTATCAATGATGGTAGTAATTAACCTAATTATCGTCAACAAAACTCTTGTACGAGCTTTCTTCCTGTCGCGTGCTTTTTGTCCAATGCCTCCTAGCCTCGTTTAACTTTCAAGTATATAAGTTTGTCCTCGTTTTTCTAATTTTCGGCTCGCTATCGATTCATCATCGCCGATAATCAACCTAATTATCCGTCGACAAACTCTCGGACAAGCTTTCTCTATCGCACGCTTCTTATCCCGCATCGTTTCTTCTCGGCCCCCATTTCGACTTCCAGAAGTATCAGCTATCATACACACATTCACCCTCATCTTTATCCAAACTCTCAGCAGGCACTCTGACATTTTTCCAATTCCCGACTCGCCATCGACGCGGCCATCCTCGACAACTCTCGCAACGGACAAACATACTCTCTTTTTTTTGTTTTTTTTTTTTTTTCACGTCTCGGCAACTCTATTCTCTGCCCCCTTTGTCCCGCATCGTTCGCCACGAGTGCCCCGTTTCCTCCTCGGCCACCGTTCCTCCTTGCTCGTTTAACCTCTTACGTTCTTTCTTTCTTTCTTCTCTCTCTCTCTCTCTCTCTCTCTCTCTCTCTCTCTCTCTTTCTCGCTCTTCTCTCTGCTCTCTGCGCGGAATCAAGAGGCAAAAGAATGGCGCATCGGGGAGTGGGCAAGACGGTTGCGTGCCCCGCGAGCGAAATAGCGAACGTCGTTTCGAATTATTATCAAAAGCCGAGGCATCATTCTGGATAATGAGCGGACGTTACCGCGACAGGGCAGAAAACTCGGGTCGCCGTTTCGTGGGAAAAACACGGCCAACGCTCACTCTCGCGGCCACCTACCCGCGACAACAACCACGTTACCGCGATCATGGTTCAAGGCTTCGGGCCGAGTCATTCGGTGTTTAAAGACTGTTATGTACCGATATCGGTTCGAGGATGTAACACGTTTGCCCCGTGGCTAGGTCAGAGAACACCCCCTTCGCGAAAACTCGACATGCGACGAGCGACTTTTGTTGTCAATGGCTCTGGTAGGATCTATGGGTTTCAATCTGCATTTGATTTGTACTTTTAGTATATTTTTGACCGTGGATTTCGAAACTCGATGCTGCAGAAATCATGTCAGTCGTTTGGAACTTGCATCGTCAACTTCTTCGTATATTCAAGGAATTTTTCATTATCCGCGAAATAAATAAATAAATAAATAATGATATTTACAGAGTTTTGTGCACTTGTGAGACGCTCGAGAGCACAAAAATGTGTAGAATAGTTCAATTATTTAAATCGTCAATGGTTCGACAACTCTTTTGTATATCAAAGAATATTTTATTCTCCGTTATTAAATGAATAAATAAGAATAGTAATATACAAACGAGTAAGAAAATATTTGTTTTTAATAATTGTAATATTTAGTAGGTACAATAACATTCCAGGATTCTTTTTTTTTTATTTTATATATATTTTTGTATATCTCTTTATTTATTATTATATTCTTTATTTTTGTTACAAAATAGTTCTTGAACTATTCGAGCCAAGTTGTGGACATCGCGATGATTAATATTCCCTGTTACAAAGCATTTATGTGATAAATACGCTGTACGATTTTTCATTTTTCTTTTTTTTTCTTCTTTCATACACATTTATCCAATTCAGCGTTGTCATTATCAACCATTATCAAAATAGAAGCTTCACACTTTAAAATATAATCAAGTACAATCGTTATGTGATCTTTTTTTCTCACTTCCTTTCTTTTTTTTTTTTTTTTTTTTTTCGTACACACATGTGTCCAAATCAGCGACGTCAGATCGTTCGCAATGATAAGTCATTCGTCTGGATCGTTCTCGGTGTTAGGAAACCATTATCAAAGTGGAAAGCTTCACGCTTTCAAACTTGATAACCAAGGTGCTTGGGAGCTTTTCGTTATGTGATCTTTTCCATGTGAAATTACATCGGTTCAGATTGCCGGCAATTTTCCATTACCCCATTTGGTTGGCTATTACAGTTATGATTCTTCACCGTGCACAATATATCCTAGGATCGGCGAGTTTCCTCGGACCGTGCTCCCTGACCGTTCGTGTCGACGACCGTTTCGCTCACGTACGTCTCGAACAAGGTCAGATGGTATCTACCTCCTCGGCGAGAGGAACCGGGATCGCGCGAAACGCCGTGGAACACGAGGAAACGTGGGATAATCGTTTGCCCCGAATTACACTCGAAGGCTCGGAGATCCACTTTGCACTCGATGCGTTTGCCGAGGTGTCGCGATGTCGCGTTTGAGCGTAACTGGTGATGGAACGAACGAGAGAGAAGAGAAGGAAAGAACGAGAGAGAGAACGATGAATCCTCGGACCAGAAATAAGTACACCTGGTTCGTCCACGTCGGTGACCAGTTCGTGCGTGCTCTAACAAGGTCAGATGTTATCGCCGCATAAACGGACAAGTTCGAGAGAAGAAGAAGAAGGAATCTCGGAAAGGGAAAGGCGTGGGAACCTTTCCGGGGTTTTCGCGATCGTTCGCGGTGCGCCGCGGTGATCGAGCGATTCGTGCGATCTTGATCTACGTGTTTCTGCTCGGCTAGGGAAAGGGATTTTCTATAAGCGTGCTACGTACGCCGGAGAATTTCCGACTGCATTCTGGAGAACGATTTTTCTCTTGTTTTTTTTTTCCTTCGGCGGTTAAAATTTGAGTGTCACGGTAATAATACAAATTTGCTGTATGGAAAATCGCAGAAATTGTTTTAAAAAGTTATCACACTTTAAAGTATTATTAAAAAGTAATATATAATATATAATTATATATAATATACGGTATAATTATATAATGATAAATTAAAAGACATTGAATTCTTATCTAATTTACTTTAAAAATAAATACAAGTAGACGTGCAATAGCGTTGAAAATAAGTCGAGTTCAAAGGGTTAAAAACTTTGGTGTCCTTAAAAATTCTTTTTCGATTAATAACGTATAACGTAATCATGTGATTATGTAATTATTGATAACATATAGTATGTTAAGTGTAATCGTATAGTATGTAAAGTGTAGTCGTATAATACAATTACAATATGAATTTTTTTTTATTACTTCCGTACTTGGGGAGACGGTGTATATTTATATAATAATTTCGCGAAGAGAGGAATCGGATGAATTGCATACAGTTCGTTGCAAACAAGTTATCTCTCTCAACAACGTGGTCCTTCGTTTTACACATTATACGACACTCGATACAACCACATGACACATGCTCCCCCTTCATTAGTGATCCCTTGCTCGTAGTTTCAAGTGGCTAATTCAAAAATGGAATTCCACGTGCGAGTGTTTCACAAATTCGTGAAATTGCGACTTGTTCCGCGCGATCGGACGAAAGCTCGAGGACGAAGAAAGGAGATGAAAAGAGAAGAAGAGGCGGGAGTTTCAAAAAAAAAAGAAAACACAGGATAGCGTGGAACGTCGCGTCGACGAAAGTGGTCGTCGAGAACGTGCCGGCGCGCGAAAGAAAGAAAGAAAGGTGGGTAGGGGACGAAGGAGATCGGTATCGACGCGCTGCCCGAAAGCAGAAGGCGAGGAACTCGAGCGCGACCGTATCGAGAACGCGGTCCTGATATAAATACGCGCACTTGTGCCGCGTTAGAGACCGACACAAAGTTCCAAGGATGCTCGAGCGCGTTCGCACCCGCTCGCTGCTGCTCGTTCTCGAGGTGCCGCTCGAGAATCCCTCGGGCACAAATAAATAGAAACGTTTCCGCCTCGTTGAACTTTGATCTTAGGATACGACGACGAGCGCGCGACTCCGCAGCCCGCCTGCTCTATTTTAACACTTTCACGGCGGACGTCACATACACGTGTGTACGTGCTTGATTTTGAGTCACCAAAAAATGTTAACACAAATAAATAAATTAATTAATAATAATTGACAAAAGTATTAATATAAATAAGTGACGAATGAAATAAATGGATTTATGCAATCTTGCTTCTGTCCAAACAGAAATTAATATTATATCATTTTATAATTATAGAAATTAATTTATATTGTATTGAATTAATTTATGTTATATTATTTTTATTTATGTTATTTTAATATAAATTATATTGTTTTATATTTGTATGTTTATTTTTATTTATATTATATTAATATAAATTATATTATTTTATATTTATATGTTTATTTTTATTTATATTATATTAATATAAATTATATTATTTTATATTTACATATTTATTCTTATTTATATTATATTATTATTTAATTTATATTATATTAACTTCGACGAGAACAGCCGTCTTATCTTCTAAGCAGTTCCAACGAAAGTTGTGTCGATCAGGGTTCGACTGTCACAGTACATTAACAAAATTATGATACTACAGTAACAAAAGTTACACGATTATTTGTAACACGTATATAGAAACAATGTTGCTCGCACGTGACTGTCATTTCAAATATCCCGCCGCGAAAGTGTCGAATGGAATTCGCTTCGGATGGAATTCCCTCGATCGGCCCGCGAATGATCGAGGAGGGTAGCCGATCGGGGGATCGATCGATCGGGTACGTACCTTCCCGGCGCATGCCCATCTTCAGGCACTTTTTCAATCGGCAGAACTGGCACTGATTCCTATGGTGTTGGTCGATGGGACAGTTTCTATTTCCTCGACACGAGTAGGTTAGGTTTCTCCTGACGCTCCTCTTGAAGAAGCTCTTGCATCCTGAAAAGAGAAAATAAAATCTTCTATATTTTTTTCTGTGTGTGTGAGTGTGTTTTTTGTTTTCATTCGTGTCACACGCATTGTGACGAGCAATCCGAAAGATTTGAGAATTTCTCTTTCTTTCTCAATTTATATCTAATTTGATTTATTTGTCATCATTGGGGTAAAATTTCTGACGTAAAATATACAATATACAAATATAAAAGGAAGGGGAAGTATCTGTTAGAATTTAAAAGTGCATTCGTCGAAAGTCAGTCGATTATTTTCGAGGGTGTCGTTCAACCCTCGGATGCGCTTGATATTTTTCATTTATTTATACCCTTTGATAAATCTTTTGAAATGGAAAATATCAATTGTTACGAAGAAAAGTAATATAAACAAAATAATAAAAGAAGGACGCACATGAGTTAATTATGATTCGTGTGATCTACTTGGGATCGTTGAATCACTTCATTTTAATACTCCGAGGATTAAATGATCGAACGTGCATGGAAATTGTTGATTGAATCTTAAATTATAATAATTATAATAGTAATAATAAGCTATAAAATTAAAGGACAAACTATTGCTCGGTCGCTTGACAGGTGAAGAAAATCGCGAGATAAGCGACTATGATCTTGTCGGCGAAGTTACAAAATTTAAATCACCAATTTTTCGTTTCACTCTCGTTATGTTGCTCAATGGGCCGACTCGTACCCAGTAATTATGGCTAGCGATGTGTATAACACGAGTCTTTTGCAACCTCAAAACCCGAGTTTTTAACGTTACGACTAACTCGAAGCTTTAAAAAGTTCTCTCTAGCTCTCGAAATTCCCAAGGTTGATTCTGTATGCAATTAGTGTCATCAATGATAGTCTGTGATTCTGTTGACAATCATCACTGTATCATACTGACTTTAATTTTTACTGAGACTTGAATTTTTCTAGATTCTGCCGCTCGGGGCTTATTTCAACAACGCTAATTATGATCGACGACGAGCAACGAGACCAGAACGAAAAAAAGAAGAAGAAGAAGAAGAAGAGAACACCGAAACACGCGAAGATTACGCGACGTTTTAAAAAAATCACGTCGATTATTTCTCAGTGATTCTCGTTCGGGGAATCGTGCGCGGACTCGGAGGTGTAACGTCGAAGCTCGTTGATCGAATCACCAACCCTTTAACCTGTTTAGCGTACGCCCGACTGCGGCCCCTGTCCATCTGTCACGCGGCGGCACCTCTACACGCTGCTCGTTAAATCGAATCGCGTTCGCCCGTGTCATCGGCCTCCCTTCCCCTCGATGTTCCTCGACTACCGGCTGGCTATCTTCTTTTCCTTCTTTCCCGCGCCGGGAAAGTTATCGGGATTTCTCGTCAAATGACTTTTCCCGTTTTTGTTTCGCGGTAGGCACGCAAATGAAACAAGAATTGAACAGAATTATGCGAACTCCTTCAAACAGACTGGAAAATATATGGGGTTTCTTTATTTTCCTTCTTTTTCTCTTTCTTCTCTGATAATAATAAGTGGGAAATAAGCGCTCGTGTCTCGTTAATTTTCGTAGACCAAAATAATAATATTAAATTTAATTTAAAATAATAATGATAACAATAATTCAAAAATTAAAATAATAGGAATATATTTTTCACTTCTAAATATCGATCGTGTTAACACCATCAATTCGAACGTCCGAAATAAGCAGTGGGATTCGTAATTAAATTAATAAAAAAATAATAATGTTAAATTTAATTTAAAATAATAATAATAATAATAATTCGAAAATAAAAATAATAGGAATATTCTCACTTCCAAATACGATCGTGTTACCATCAATTCGAACGTCCGAAATAAGCAGTGGGATTCGTAATTAAATTAATAAAAAAATAATAATGTTAAATTTAATTTAAAATAATAATAATAATAATAATAATAATTCCAAAATAAAAATAATAGGAATATTCTCACTTCCAAATACGATCGTGTTACCATCAATTCGAACGTCTTAAATAAGCAGTGGGATTCGTAATTAAATTGACTTTTGGTCTCCTGCTATCTAATTAAGATTCATTCCAAGAAACAGATGTGCATTGTCGTTAATCGTTAACAAATAAATAAATGAACAAGCTTCTTTCACTTCCACGCGAATTTCTCGGCGAATTGTAATTTTTCTTTTTGTATCGCGAGTTGTATTCCCAACTTCGCCACGAGACGTTCGATCGTCGATACGAGCCAAGAGACGGAGGAGAAAACGATAGGAAACGGGGAATTTGGGTGAATGGCGCGAACGAGCGAACGCGGGTGGACGTGCGGCGAGTACTTGAAAGCAATCAAGAGGCAATTCATATCGTGGCAATAAAGCGTTCTCTGTATGAAAACGGCTGGACCGCGCGATAAAGAGGGTTACCCCTGTTGTAGACGATTCTCATCGGCGATCGCCTGCCCGATCTACGATTTACTCGCGCTTTGAAATTAGCTTGGCCGACCTTATCTTCACGCGGGAAGAAAAGACACGTCCTCCTCCCCTCCCCCTCCCTCCCCCATGTTTTAGATGGAACGACCGCGCTTGAGATCGGCTCCGACCGTGACCTCGAAACGGTTCCCCGAGATCGATAACGTGCTCGTGGTTCTGGGTTCGCAACCTTTTTTTTTTTTTGGTTTAAATAAACGGGACAAGTCCTTTTCGCGCAATATTTGTTTATTCAGAACAGTGTCGCGTGAGAATTTGTATATTCAGTTAGAACGTGTGCGGATATGGTAATTGACCTATTGTTTTAAACGACAGAGATGATAGAAAGAGCAAGACTGCAGTGCTCGACTTCGAAAATTTTTGATCGTAAGAAGATAAAGATTTGATTAATCTGACAAAGAAGTTTGAGAGGGAATTGAACGTTGCCAAGAATTTAATAGATTCCGGAAAGAGAATGACTTTAAAATTTAAATACGTAAGAAGTATTCTTTGCACTTCGTAGCCTTGCTTTCATAAAATTCGTTTTATTTTAACGTGGCACTGTGTGCTGTACGAATAAAAATCCGCAATCTAATTATCACGGTACAATTGTAAATGTTCAAGAAATCAAATTCAGAAAATTACTATTTAATTAATTAGATAATTTGACAGGTCTAAATATAAAGTATACTAAAAATACAATTTTATTGTGTGATACGACAAATGTTCCTAGAGACTAGGTATTTTTTTCCGTAAAAATTCCGCAGGAACAGGCATTTCATTAAGTTCGAATAGAACAAAGTGTTTTTCAATCCTTATCTATATGTACAGACATCGTTAAGATATAAAATATATATTTGCAACAATATTTGTTATATACATTATTATTATATTATATAAATATAAATATTATTATTATATACATTATTATTATATTATATAAATATAAATATATTATTATTATATATATTATATAAATATGTATAAATACGTTTTATATTATCAGATAATTGTAAAGTAGCAAACAGTGCGTACACAAATCATTTGAAGGCAGAAACAAATGAAAAATTCTAAAACCACGTGTGGAAGCTGTCCAAAGAGAGCAAAGAGTTTGACCCTTGAAACTGACGATGGAAATCATTTCTTTTTTTGTCAGGCTATGTCGGTAATCGGGCGATTACAATCACCGGGGCAGAAAAATAAATGTCACGCGATGAAACACTTCAAAGTGTTCTGATCGAGATGACGCAAATTTACCGAAGCGTATTAACAAGAAAATTAATTAGCCAGGCATTGACATCTATTTGCAAAACCGGTTCTGCAACTTCACTTTGCGTTTAGAAAGCTTCGCGACGCGGGCAAGACATTTTTAGAGAGCTAAGATCGGCACTCGCGATCCAACGTTCGCGCTACTTTGTCGAAAGAAACGTTTCGAAAATGTGGCAAGAGACAATTCGAGTGACATAGCAGAACTCAAATATATAGCATTTGTACGGATTGTCGTTTATTTAAACGACATCTGCGTTAATTCGATAAACAAGTTAAATTTTCGTTTAATTAAATGAACTCTTGCTGACTTGAACTTGAACTCCTGGACAGCTCGAGTCTAATTATATATGAACGAAAGGTCACTGTAGTTCGTTCAACGAGGCAACCAGATCTCTGAACAGGACATCCACGTGCTAAAACGCATAACGGAGGCAACAGGTTCGACTGATGCTTATCGTCATGCTAACGTTACGTTATTCGTTTGTGTCAGCGACTTATATTTCGTCAGTTCGTAGAATATATAAAAAATCGTATTATGGTATATAAGAACTAAAACTACGCCTCTGTTCTCTGTTCTCTGTTCCATTCGAATGTCACCACGTGCATACGTTTATAGCTGGTGCCTCGATTCGGTGAACGAACTACAGTAGAAGAGAGAATCAATGGACTTCTGTCTTCTATTATGTGAACTTCAATTATATAAACTATTATCTCTGGCAGAAAGTTTTCGATCAAACGCAAGGCACGTATTGAAATACGTATTGAAATTTTACTAATCACTAATTTTACGTTTCCGTATATTTCAAACAAACGCAACAATGTTTCGTACTTAAAATTTCAATGTTTCTAACTACTTTCAAACATTTATGTTCTTTTTTTTTTTTTTTTTTTGCTAGCAATAGTATTTGTTCCCTGACAAAATCGTATAAATGGAGCTCTTCTGCTTTCTCAGAGATTTTTCTAAAGAGCTCATGCTACTTTATTTCATTCATTGACTCTAAAAATACAAGATCACGTCTGACTAACTCTTCGTAGGAAAACTGAGTCGTTCATGTTCGTGTCTTTTTTTTTTTTTTTTTTTACTTTTCCAAGCTTTCAAGAATCAACCTTGAGTTGGTTAATTAAGCTTTTGCTGTGTCGTATAATCAGTTTCTGATTATCAAGTCGTTAAAACGTTTCTCAGGAAGAATAAAAATTTACTTCGAAGAAGTATGTACTATACAATGAAATTTCATTTAGGGTATAAACGATCTAGTTTGTTGAAATGAATCGTGATTGAAAGATTAGACTTTGACGTGTTATTTGACAGT